GCGGTTGGCGCAGGATAGAGCAGGGTTTAGGGCTGTTGTGCATAGGGTCGCTATGAGTCGGAAACGACTCGACGACACATAACAACAACAACAAGAACAGTCCACTAAAAAAAAAATTAAAAATAGTCCCTCCTTGCAACATGCCCAAAGACCTAGAATGCGATCTATTCTGGAAAACGTTTCATGCATATTGGAGAATAAGGTGTCCTGTGCTTTTGGGGGGTTCATTAGCCTATAAATATCTAAGAGATCTAGTTGGTTTATTGTGTGGTTTAATTCTTCAGTTTAATTCTTCTCTTGAGTTTTTTTCTGGTAGTTTTATCTTTTTTTTCGTGAGGGGTGTATTGAAGTCTCCAACTACTATACTAATGTGGTCTATTTCCTTTTCCAGTTTTGTTAATGTTTGTTTTATGTACTTTGCAGGTCTTTCATTTGGTGCGTAGATATTATTGTTATGTCCTCTTGTTCTATTGACCCTTTCAGCATTATATAGTCACCTTCCTTGTCCTTTGTGATGGTTTTCAGATTGACTTATTTTATCAGAGATTAATATCACTACTCCTGCTTTTTTCTGGTTGTCATTTGCTTGGTATATTTTCCCCACCCTTTTATTTTTAGTCTTTCTTTATCTTCATTTTTCAGATGTGTCTCTTGTAGACAACATAATGATGGATTTTGGTTTTTTTATCCAATATGCTACTCTTTTTCTCTTCAGCAGTGCATTTAAACAATTCACATTCAATGTGATTAATGAGAGGAAAGGTTTTATTGCTATCATTGTGTTGAGTCCTTTTTGGTGTTGCTGCTATTTACTTTGGACCATGCCGCTTTCTGTGGTATGTCTGTAAAAAAGGACGTCTATGAGTCCTTCCTGCAATGCTGGTCCTGTTTTTACAAACTCTCTCAGGTTCTGCTTTTCTGGGAATATCTTGATCTCTCCTTCATATTTGTTGGATAATTTTGCTGGGTAGAGTATTCTTGGTTAACAGTCCCAGTATCAACTTTGTTAGCAAGTCTCTGTGAGCATCATGTTAATGGGGTCCCTTGTGGTATGGCTATGTCTTCACAGTAATAGGCTCATTCTTCATAGGTCCATTGAAACAGAAATCCAATGTCTTAGGAAAGGTGATTCAGTTTTTTGCTCCAACTGCATATTTCTTGTCAGGCTCCTCATGGAGAACAAGATGGGATTCCCTTTTTCAGCCTAACTTAGTCAAGCTCATTCCTCTGTGGATCAGATGAAATAGTAGTTTAAACTCAGAAATTTGTTCATATGGGCAGCAGAGTCCCAAAGGAGAAGAAAAGGGGAAGCCTCTATTGGGGCGGGCTCTACCCCCATGTAATGATCTGTGGTCAGGTGTGCTGTTTTTCCTCAACAATTCAGGGATTTCTGCTCCCTCTTCACAATAGTCTGGGGAAAAACTTGAACATTCATTCTATCTCAAATGTCAGCATGCTTGCCACTTTGCCTATACGTAAAATACTACAAAGGGTGTCAGGGGGAGGGTGGAATTAGAGAAATGAGGGTGAGGGGTAGGATGTTAATCATGGGGTTGTACAATTCAATGGGTTGGTGACGTGAAGGGAACGGGAAGGATCTTTTGTGAAAAACAATGCATTCAAACTTTGTAAATATATCACCATAAATTTTTCAAAAACGAAAAAAGCTTGGATTATCTTTTTCAAGTTCTAGAAAAAACAGTGGAAGATCCACTATGAGAGAGAAAAAGACTTGTCCCATCACAACCATCCTAGAGAGAATAATGACTTTTCTTCTAAGTGATTTATGAAACCACAGAGGAAAAAACTTTCGCTACCAGGTCAGTGAAAGGTAAATGAAAAGAGCTTAGCCCCCTGCACCATTAAGGATCTGTGTTCATGATGGGCAATCTCTGCTTTGCATTTGATACTTCATTCAGGGGACATTTTCCTCAACATTTATCATTACTAAGCACTACGGAAAAGGGTTGGTTTGTTTGTTTGCTTGTTTTCACTTTATTTTTCTTAATTGTTTAATGACTGTTTAAAAAGCATACAGGTTTCTCAATCAATGATTCACATATATATAATTTCACAAAAATAATCATAATAACCACAGTGTCTGATAATTCACATTTTCTAGAGGAAGATTATATTTCTTTCACCTATCTTTTAATTATTTTTAAAAATTCCCTTCTCCATTTTATTCCTCTCTCAGGAACCATACTAGAATGATTCTATCTGTGAATATATATTTCTTTAGAATTTTAAATATTAGTAATTGCAATACTTGTTGTTTTGTGACTGATTTTCACATAGTCTAATAGCCTCTAGATTCATCTATACCCTATAATTTTTCATGAATCCTTTATTGTTTTTCAATGTTGCATATTACTCCATTGCGTGAATATACCTTCGTTTTTCAGACATCCATTCATTGATGGGCATGTGGGTTGCTTACATGTGTTTGCAATTTTGACATTGCTGTATTAAACACGATTGCGTATAATATGTTCATGTTGTAGCTCTTATTTCATTAGTAGAGACAACTCACTGTGGGGTTGTTGGACAAATAGCATTACCATTTTAAAATTATTGAGGAGACCCTAAACTGCTTTGTACAGTGATTGCCTCGTTTTCAATCCCCACCAGCAATGTGTTAGTGTTCATCTCACCACATCCTCCCCAGGATTTATTTACTGTCTAATCACTTGGCTCTACAATCAACACTCTTGGTATCAGCAGCCAGGAATTTAAAAGACAAATTGTACTGGGAAAGTCTACTGTCAGAGACCTCTCCAAAGAGAAACGATGTCAGTCTGGAGACTAAGGTGGCACCTGATACAGGCTGTGATCTTTGCAATTACTGCTATGTATCAGAGAGCTGGACAATGACTAGAAATAGGAGAGTTGATGCCTTGGAGCTATGATGCTGGAGAAGTATATTGAATATCCCATGGACTGCTAGGAGAACAAACAAGTTTGTCCTGGAGAGGGTGAAGCCAGGCTGTTTCTTGGAGGCAAGGATTCTGAAACTTCATTTGACATACTTTGGACATGTTGTAAGGTGGGATCAGTCCTTAGAGAGGGACATCATGCTTGGGAGGGTGGAAGGGTGGCACAAGAGAGGAAGAACCTCAATGAGATGGATTGATTCAGTCACTGGGTTATGGGGATAGGTATGTCAGAGATAATAAAATTGGAAAGGAATAGAGCAGGGTTGAGGGCTGTTGAACATAGGGTTGCTATGAGTCGCAGGTGACTCAGTGGCACACAACAACAACAACAACAATGAAATCTAAGGGCAAGTTTTCAGAGAAACATCATTTCAATCATAGGACCTTGGGAGCCAAAGCCTAATGCAGTGCTGGGAACTCTCAGTGGAGAAAAGAGATTTCCTTGAACTAGAAGGAAGACCACATTAAGGGGTGGCCTAGCCTGGCTAGAGGAACAGTGGGCAGAGCAATGGGGAGGAAGGAGCTGTCTTTGAGGGGCTCTCATGTCCCATCATGACTGTGTGTGAGTCTGGACAATAGGGGGAATTCATGGTCACAACTGGGAACCATGACCCTGACCTTCCATGATGGGCTCAGCTGTGCCCTTCTACATCTATAGAAACCATAGACAAGCACTATCCCATGACCCTGGTTGTCTGCAGCCACAGAGATTGACTCAGGCAGGGCCTGGGGAGGGGATAGAAAACTGATATTCAACTCATTTGCATGGTTGGTCCTCCCTTCTCTCAGAGTATGAAGAGGGCATGGGGAGGTGAGGAGGCCCTGCAGCAGGAAGTCAACAGAAGACAGACTCTAGGAAATCTCCACCATGGCCTGGGCCCCTCTCCTCTCCCTCCTCGCTCACTGCACAGGTGACTAGACTGGGGTCAGAAAAATGGGTCCTGGGAAGACACATGGGATCTTGCTTTCCTGCCTCTTCAGGGTCACTATCTCTGTGTCTCCCCACTAACAGTGTCCTGGGCTCAGTCTGTGCTGATACAGCCACCCTCAGCGTCTGGGAACCTGGGCCAGCAGGCCATCATCTCCTGCACTGGGAGCAGCACCATCATTGGTGAAAACTATCTGCACTGGTACCAAGAGCTCCCAGGAACATCACCTAAACTGCCCATCTTTGGTGATAACAAGCGATCCTTAAGCGTCACAGACAGATTCTCAGGTTCCAAGTCTGGCAACACAGGCATCCTGACCATCACTGGGCTGCAATCAGAGGATGAGACTGATTATTACTGCCAGTCCTATGACAGCAGCCTGAGTGCTCATACAGTGCTCCAGGTCGGCAGGGAAGTGAGACAAGAACCCCTTTCTCATCTGTCAGGAGGGGAACACCCAGCTGCTCCTGTCAGATCCTTCAGGGGCTTCTGGTAGTTCTTGTGCTGCTGCCACCCAGGTACAACTCCGTGAGGGGGACCACCTGCTCTAGGTCCCTCCTTTATCTACCTTCATTACAGTCAATAACTGATATTTTTTTTCCTGGCAAAGTGGTTCAGGAGAAAGAGGACATCCTTTTCCCATCAGCTTGAAAAAGAAACTCTTTGCATTAAAGCCTGATGCTGGGTGTTGAGTTCAACTGTGATCCTCACAGATTCCATTAATGACTAGGATATCCTGAGTCTCCGTCATCAGTTTTCCCTTTTTCTCGGAGCTTCCAGAACCATTTCATCCTTTAAGTGGCTTCAGCATGATTCTCTAAACGTCTTATTTTTTTTCTTGTTGTTCTGAATTTTTTATTGGTTTACATATTCATACTCATTTTCAGGTTTTTTTTGAACATACTTAATTTTTTATTTTGAGATTCCCTATTCGCTCTATACAAGAACCTTTGCTGAAACACTTTCCACAAAGGCAGTAGTGAATTTTCAGAACATTTTACATATTTTCCCCTCAGCAAAAAGATAAATCACAGTGTAAATTATGTTGTTCTGCTGTCATCTTTGGCTGGGGTTAGACCCAGAAGTTGTTGACCAGCAAACCACTGTAGGCAAATGTTGCTAGAGCTCCTTAGGCATTAGCTACAAACTCAGCAAGGAATGTCTTCATTCAGTCTTTTAAGTTACCACCAGGGGGGTAGGACAGCATTAACTTCCATAAACTTTTAACGACAAATGGAGAAAAAAAATCTACAAAATTAGCTAGTAATAACACACAGCAATACACACTTTTTATACTCTACACAAAACCAAAATTCTTGGTCTTAATGGCGAGCAGCAGCTTCTGTTTGAGAATCTGTTTAGAGGAATAAAGTGGGACGTAGAGTCGAGAAATGCAAGTATTAGCAGTAGGAAGATGTTGGTCATCTGGTGGCCTCATTGTGATGGAGGGCATAGGCTGAAATTCTTCTTCACTAGCTGGTAGTGATGGGCTTGATGTCCAAAAATAAACAAGGTCCTGTCTTTCTGTCATGCTCATCTTCTCCACTATTGATCAGAACCAGCGTTTGAACTGCAAGAGCTTCTCAACATTTTCTCCAGATTCATCATTGAAAGAAGTGAAACTGATCAGCATTTGCACATTAACTTCACCACAGCCATTTACCAAAAGCCTAAAATCTTCTGCTGTTAAATCTTCCAATGAATTCTTTGGAAGTACATCCAGCAGACCTTTTCTCATTGCATATAATGGCTGCTCTGCAACTACCAACATTCTGTTCTCTGCATATTTACGTACATATTCATACACGTTCTGTGGAGTGACAGGTATATTTACACCATTGGGGATGAGTTCAACCTGTCCTCCACCCTCTTCTTTACACAAGTCTATTGCAAATGCCAAGTCCATCACTGAGAAAACAGCATCCGCATCTGAGCTCTGAGAAGCGAGGATGAGTTGCCGCAAACTTTCATACATTACAGGGTCAAAAAAAGCAAAATCATGCCAATTGACTTTTCTACCAAGCAACACTTTAATTACATGTCTATTCAATGTGATAGGACATAGTTCATTCTGTAACAGACAAAGTCCAAGAATTCTCCCAATATTTTTGAAACAATTCAGCCTTGCTTCTGTATTTTTGCCAGGCCGCGGAGTATAAAATCCTCTTTTTCCAGGTTGATAAAACAAAGGCGCATTATCATCACCATCATCTGTGTCATCTAAATCCATATCCACTACACTTCGACTAGAACCATGACGTTTTTGGTTTTCCTGAACCTTTTCTGAAGAGTCTAGCAATCCAAGATCCAAGATACTGTCGGCTCCATTTTCCCTTCCGTGTGCAATAATAAGCTCCATGTCTTCATCCATTCTTGCTCTCAGAGAATCTTCACTAGCTAGAAGGAGAAGCAGCTGTGCTGGGGACAATTCCAATAGCATGCCAGTGATTTCACCTGCAAATGCTGGTTGCATGGCTTGTACCCGAGGATAAAGCCTCTCCCCAAGTGCCTGCAGATGTGCTGGCAGAGGATCTGGATCGTCACTAGGATTCCCCTCGGAGGCTGGCCTGAAAGGCCTTGTGTCAATGGAAAGCTGTCTTCTAAAATCTCTATCACGGTCTCTTCGAGAGCCTGCTCGCAAGCCGCTACTTCTCCTCATTTCCCTCTCTCTTTCTCGATCTCTCTCTCCTCTGATCCTTAATCTCTGCATTAGGCTTGTGTGGGTGCCTTTGTTGGCATTTTGGATACAGTCAATATTTGGCAATTTTTCATTTGACAAAAATGCTTGTGCAATGGCTGTATAAAAGCTTCCTGCCACACCACTGCCTTCGCCTGGCTCGCCCTTGAATGTGACTTTTACTCTGTGCACAGCAATAGGTGTGGACTCATTTTGTTTTTATGTGTACTTTTTAATCCAAACATTCATATACATTATATTTTACATAATTAATTAATTACCATTGCTGCTCTATGCCTACTATCTCCCTGTCCCAGATTATTCTATGTGTGTGTGTGTGTGTGTGTGTGTGTGTGTGTGTGTGTGTGTGTGAGAGAGAGAGAGAGAGAGAGGTGTATGTCTGTGTATATCTATATTTTCTTATTTGTGCAGGGAGCTCTTTTAACCTAGTGGGTAAGGAATTCTGTTGTCAACATGAAGAGGAAGTTGGGAAAATCTCCTCTCAAACAATTCACAGACTAAAAAACTCTGAAAGGTCAACTCTGTGTTGGTTCTGACTGGAAGGCAATGAGATAGGGATGAGGGGTAGACTGTCCATGAAAATGACACTCTGTGTGTGGAGAAATTCTACACATGAATTCTGAAAGACACAAGACTCTGGCATGTTTCTGGGAGATGAGTGCTCACAGCAGATGGTGCTCAATGTCCTGAGGCACAGGGGTAGGCAGGTGCTCTCTGTGGAGACTCGTCCCTGTGTCCTCTCTGAGTCTGGCAGGGTCTGCTGCACACAGGCCCGTGTGGTCTCTGCATCTGCTCCTCTCAGACTTCCACCCAGGGCATCTAGACAACATGGCCAGTCTGCCTGAACTCAGGCCACACTCAATATAGAACCAGAGATCTGTCAGAGGATGTGAGTCAGGGAGAGGGTGGGCTTGCATTTTTGTCAAAGGTCTCTCCTCCATAAACCCATATGGACGGAATAACAGTGGCCTGGCACATCCTACCTCCAGGCCTGTGTCTTAGCAGGGCTTTGTCCAACATGGCCTGAGTCCCTATTTTCATCTGCAATTGCAAGAGTTAGGAACAACTCTCAGAGATCTTGAGGCACCCACAGATTTTATGTCAATCTTTTCAGTTCAGGGTCCAATAATGAATCCTTAGTTCTTCCCATCACTCATGAATACCTGTGTGTTCAGAGGCCTGTCCCAACCTGTGCTCCCTCAGCAGACCTCTGCATCATTCTCCCTGGGACAAACAACCAAGGTCACCTGAACACTTAGCAGTGGCTACAGTAACTACTGTGCTGACTGACCCCAGCAGAGGCCAGCAAAGGGCCCTGAGTTTGTGAGGCTAGTGAGTTCCAGACATATATCTGAATCCATGGAAGACGGAATCCCTGGTTGCTTCTGAGGCTCTGGATATGGTTGGTTAGGTTCCTAACCTATCCTGCGAGTTTCTACCTTAGTAGATATTTTCGTACTCATCTGTGAAAATAGTCTGTCTTTTCAAGTACTCCACTAGCACAGCAGTTTCCTCTGTGCTGTGAATTGTTTTTGGAAGCATGTATAAAATACACGATTATGTACACATGCTTGTGTAGCTATTATCACTTACCCATCTGAAGGATATTTAGTGTCTATATGATGATGTATTCACAGGTGCTCTCAGGATCCAACCCACACTACTCATTTTCTGCTCTCCTCACTAAAAAGTTAAAATAATTGTGCGCTACATTCACTATGAAACACTAAATTTCCCCCTGGGGTTACAAGAATGCGTCCCTGACTCCATCGAATCACATGCATCCCCATGGTCCCCACCTGACTTCCACACCCTCCCCAAACTATCTCCACAGCACAGCATGATCAGGTCGTTCATGCTCTTTCATGCTCCCTGTGTTTGAAGCTGAACAAATCATTTCCACAAACAGATGCATGAGAACGCCTGGGTTTGCTCTATTGCTGTACGTTTGGCAGGGGCTTCCATTGTCCTGCAGAGTGAAAATGTACATGTGTAGGAGAGGAAACCCTTATTTCCTTGTTCAAATTATTTCTTAGACAGTAAGAGAGGAGATGATTCTCAGCGTTGAATAGCTGTGATTGCCTCGGATTTTGAAAATTTCACGAGGAAAACCTAAATTTCATAGGGAAAGACAATCAGTGAAATAAACACATACCTATTTGTCTTAAAGAGAAAATTTCACCAGATAAACCTAAATTTCATAGGGAAAGACAATCAGTGAAATATACACATACCTATTTGTCTTAAAGAGAATCGGGGCCATACTACCCCTTGTCTGTGAATTTGTGACACAGTTTAGTGTTGCTGTGAGGCTCAAAGCTATGCCATCAGAATTTCAAACATCAGCAGTGCATCTCATGGTGGAATGATTTCTGTGGAGCTTGCAACTGGGAAGCAGAATTGGTATTCAATTTCTAAAACTTTATGAATAACAATGGAACATTGGTTAGTTTGATTGGGCTCAAAATAAGAAGAAACAGCTGCAAATACTTATTATGAATTAAAATATGAAATGTATAAATCTAGGAAAATTGGAAGTAAGAAAAACTTAAATAGAAATGTATAAAATTGTTTCCTGAGGCATTAACTCACTTAAATTCGACTCATTGTTTTTCAGTGAAAACCAACTCATAGTTGATCCTCTAGTAGGCTTTCAGATGCTGTAATTTGCTTGGGGAGAGAAGGCCCATGTTTCTTTCCCCTACAGAGAAGTTTGTGGATTGGAAAGGCGTATCTTTGAGGTATTAGTGAATTTAAGTGGATTGTTGTTGTTGTTAAATGTCATTGTGCTGACTCAT